GACAGAGTTTGGTAAGGTGCTTTTGCCTACGTTTGAGACTTAAGGATTTTGGGTAGATTTCGGATAGTTTAAATTCTATGCAACCCGTTGGCACCTTACCACTCTGGCTTCGGTAGTAAACTGCGGGCTTCTGCACTTTATGGTGTTAGTTGTTCGCATTTGCGAGCCGAACTCGATCGAGAAATTCATTGAGTTCACTTTTTTTGTTAAAATATCAACTTAAATAACTCATTTGGCTATTTCGTAGTGAGGATACTACATTTGTTCCTGAATGTTGTGAAAGAAATTGATTTTCTGGAATGAAGCGAGTATTTTTAGGACTTTATTTACCAATTGTAGAAACAATATGAACCTGAGCAGTGAACAATTAAAAGAACTGAAAAAACATTTGTCAGTGATGAAAAAAATTTTAAAAATGGTACGTTTCCCTCCCACTATGAGAACCTTTGGTTGAGACTTATTATGAATAGCGGCACTGAACGCCAATGCAAATGCATAATACCGTTGTAGCATGTTGAGCATAGGTCGCCCTGAAAGTTATCAATGAAAACTTCCGAAGTTTTTTCAGAATTCTTTTTAATTTGATGACTTCCATACAGAATTCAAGTGAAGCTGGACTTTCCGTGACTGAACAACATTTTTGGTCATCCCTGCTAGCCATTTTGCAAACTATGCGATTTTTTGTCTATTTCGGAAATACTTGCAAACTGCATAATGTACCTGCGAGTAGAACACATCACCAAATATCCCAGATAATCGTTGGAACTCTGTTGGTGTTTTCCAGTAAATTTTTATTGCCGATTTGGGTAGTTCACTTGTTTCTTTCAATCTCATGATGTCAGTCTCATCAACTAAGACGGCGTTTTCCAGTTGTTTCTTCAATTCCGCATCGTACCATCTAGGCAGCAAATATCGCAAATCATCGGCCGTAAAATTGTGCGATACTTCGTTGAGAACAACATTACTCACCGAGTCGTTCGCTTTTTGCACCAATCTCTTCCCACTGAAAAAAAAAAGCAACGCTCTTCATTCCAGAC